AAAAACCAGACAAGTTCAAAAATGAAAATTAGAAAGATTAGACTGTTTGATTAACCCATTAAGCAAATTAAATCCAAGTGTATCCTTGGAAATTGAGCCTCAAATAATAATGTGGAAATCTAGAAACCAAAAATGCCAAATGAGGTCATGAAGAAAGGATCACAGTATCAAATTAAAATGGCTCAAACAGAGAGATGACAGCTTTCTAAATGAAGTATAGGTGAAAAAATTAATTTTGGCAATGGGAAAGGTCATTAACAATCATTAATTTTTTGTAATCTTTCTCAACATATATATTATGATTTATTTTATGTCAATTTTAGGTGATTGTTAGACTTTGAAGAATGTACTAATTTATTTGGTTTAATATATAAAAAATTTTATTTTACAAATAAGATTAAGAGGGTAATACATAATTTTTAAAATATATTTAAAAATATAAAAAAATAATTAAAAATAAAAATGACATATATACCAATTTTAAAAATCATTTATTAAATTAAAATCTTACACTAATAATTTATCAAATAGTAACTCTAATAAATAAGTCTTTGTCCAATTGTCACATTAATTTGCTATATATTTTTTTTATAAAAAAATTCAAAGATAAATAAATTACTCAATCCTTTTAAATTATAGTAAGATGTGCCTGATAACTTAAGATAGATAATTACAGATTACGCATTTGATATAACCTTAATAAATAACCACCGACAGTACTTAGATCCAATGTCTCTTCGTCGAAAAAAATAAATTTAACCGATTGAACCAATTACTTATTGATAATTTTATTTTCTACTTATAACCAGCCAAAAAACTGACAAGGTTAGAAGAGTCCAAGTCGATTTTCGAATAGCTCTTCTCAAGGTAAATCTGGCCCAAAATGCAACGGGTCGTTCCGGGCCCAATAAAGATTTCCCGCTGTCGTCAAGCTGAGCCGAGTCCAGAATTGGAGTCCATGCAAGAAATTTGTTCAGGAGACGAACAAATCATTGCTTGTTTCTAGAGTAGTGATCAGATTGAAACTTGAAAAAAAAAAAAAAAAAGACGCTGTTTCACTTCTTCAACTGTGCAATTCTCACCTTCGGTCCTCACGCCGTCTACTACTCCGCCATTCCCTCGTACGTCCGCCACCCCCTTTTGCTCGATTGTACACCTCATTTTCATGTAATTTTATGATCTACTAATCGATTGGAATCTTTTTCTTTTTAATGTCTTCGTTTAGTTAAATCTCACACGTCGATTTGTTCGTTCAAAACCGAAAAAAGAAAATGTCTCGATCGAAAGATCGAGCTAAGATCTTTTAAACAAATGTTAAAAACGTTCGATTAAAATGTTCAAAAGCTATAATATGGACCTAATTTGATGTTGTTTTAGAAAAAAACGTTCAGGAAAGGTGTTATTTTCTACTAAATTATAGTATTTTTAATGTATAAATCAGTCTATTTATGTAAATTTATGTTTATGCAGATCTGAGTATGATACTCTTGGTACCTCTGTTAAAGCTTCCCTTGTTTATCTCGGAACAGCTTTTGTGAAGGTTATTACCACTTCTAAAATTACGTGCTAAACTTTAATCTAATGTCTTTTTGAGTCGCATTTTGGATAGTTAATTTGGTTTGTTTTGATTTTATATGGTGGCAGCTTGTTTGCCTGGCAACGTTTTTGAAGGTTTCTGAGAATGATGGCTTTGATCAATACGAGGTATTTTCCATTTTTTTGTTCTGAAATTGGAATCTACATGGATGAATGCTAATATCGCCCTAATTATACATGTTTACAAATTCTGATTTGATCTTTTTTTGTGGTTCAGTTGAAGATAAACAGATGTTAAAATTAGATAGAAATTAATGTGAAAATTTTTGCCACTTTGTTGTCTATAGTTGCATAAGGGGTATGTTAGGGATGTTGCTTGTGATTTTGCCATTAGTCTTTAGGAACAGTCTGTATTTGCAACTTATAACAATCATGTCACTTATGCATTTTCAGGAACTTTTGAAAGCACTGATTGTTTTTATAGATGTTGCTGGACTTTAGTTTGCCTTAACACAGTTGACTTACAGGAACATCTCTCAAAATCATAAATTTCAAGCTGTTGGACTTGGTAAGTGAGATTGACTAAAACATTTAAGTTGAAGTCAGCTTTGTCCCCTTCCAAATGCCCCCCCTCCAAATAATTTTTTTTTTTTAAAAGAAGAGTGCCTCATTTTGCGTTTGTGGTTTTTGACCCTTAAAACTATCACCATTCATCATATCATCTAAATTATTGATGAGTTGAATTACTAGGAGCAAGGCTTGATCTTTGTTACAAATAAAATAAATATCACAGTGTTAATAGAATGAATGTTCAGACTAAATTCAGTTCAAGAAGGTTGAAATCACTCAGTTTTCCATTTTGAAGTACTTGTAGAGGAATACCTCAATTTGGAGCAGGATTTCTGGTACTATTTTTAGTGATGTTTGATGCTAGTATTGGCCTGATGTTAACAGTTAGTAAACCATTGAGGATAAACATTAGTAATAATATACATAATAGACGTGGGGATGAGCTTCATCTAGCGTATTTTTCATGGTTCTTTTCACTTCCTAACATCAGCACTATGGCTTCTTTCTTTCCATGTTGATAGGATGGGCTTTTGCTGATTCGGTTCTACATAGATTGGCACCCCTTTGGGAGGTAGCTAAAGGACTAGAATTCACTTGGGATTACATTCTGCGAGGCCTGGAAGCAAATGCTAATTTGGAATGTTTATTTCTTCAATGGTTGGGACATTTTTTTTTCAAACTTCCTTGTTGGGCATTCTTGATTCTGTAAAGTAGTTTATTTGCAAAGGTGTTGATATATCAGAATAATGATTGTGCGACAGCAACATTTTAGAATTATGTGTTAGTCTAATCAAAAGCGAAAGTAGAATTTCTCTCTCCTTATAGACATCCCTATCCTTTTCTCAATTCAGGTGTTTAGTATATCTCTTGCAACATTGGGATCTTTGATGTGGCTTTGGAAGAACAAGCCCAAGACTTTGATCCCCAATTCCCTATAATATATGCATGTGCTGGAATTTTTGCAACCATGCCATCCATTACAAGTCCTGTTTTAACTTGTCACTGCATCTGCCCACAACTTTCTCCTTCTTTCTGCTTGACCACAATGAAAATACTGAATGAAAACCTTTCTCCTTGGCTAAATTTCGGCAGTTATCTGAGGTGAGGATTGGGATGGCACTTTACAAGGGTGGTGGGCTTTGAATTGTCCATATCTCTGGTAATGGCTTTCATTAGTTGGCAATTGTTTTCTTCATGCCAAAGTCCCTTTGCATGAGCAGCACAGTTACACCCTCCACCTGATGATTGATGAGATACTCTGTCAATTCCACTTCGTGAGATTCTTTACTAAAATTTTCCCAATGCCACTCTGTTGTCTGCTTTAAATTTCAATTATCTTCGATGTAGTTTAAAAGTTTTATCATTGTTGGAACTGTCTAACATTAATCCATAGAATTTTGCCCAAGGCACAAAACTCAAATATTGTATCTCCAGAAAAAGTAGTGAAATGATTTTAAATGTAGAATTTGGTAGCATTATTGTTCCATACCTTCTCTTCAAGAACCTTTGCATATTATTATTATTATCTTTAAGGTCAAGTGGAGAATTCATCAATCAAACTAAATGCAATGCATATTCTGTTTACAGGGGAAAATTTCGGCTTGCATTTACTGAACAAGCTCGATGCATCTCTACTTGATAAAAAGCTTCTATTTTAGGATTTGATTAACTCTATTGCAAGTTATTAAAACTTTTAAATGATCTCTGGAATGTTTTGATTATACAACCAAAAGTATTCACATTAACATTAGACAAAAGGAAAAAACATGTTTTTGTCTCTGAAGCAAGACAAATACTAGAACAAAAGTGCTTGCTGCTCAGATTCCTCCAGAGATGCTTCGATACGCAAAAGAACAAAGCCAACTGCAACCCCAATCAGAATAAGCCCGTTCATGATAGCTGCAATCTTGAAAATCTCAGCTGCTGCATTGCATGTAGAGGATAGGGCTCCCCCACCTTTTCTTCCTTTGTCATGGGCCTTCAAGGAGCTGGCAACATTAGCAAAGCACTGGTAAGTGCACACCGGCAGCCCAAGGGAAATCTCATTGTTGTTTGCTTTGAGACCAATATAGGAATTCATTCCTCCAATGTGCACCACTTTGGGTGTTCTTTGTCAGGTTTTGCTGCCACAACTCACCACTGCGCCAGTGACTGTTGTAGGAGCAAGGACAGCTGAAGTTGTCGCCACGTCCACCGAGCTTGAGATCAAGAAGACATAGCATTTTGGCATGCCAAAAGAATTCACTTAACAAAGACCTTAAGGCATTCGAGAAATAAAATGAAACAAAAGAAACGAAATAGAGGGGTTTGGGATTACCTGTTAGTTCGATCAGTGCAGGATTTTGCAGATAGAGGAGATGAAACAAAACTCAGTGCCGTATGACGGGAAAGTCGTGATTTCAGATAGGGTTGCGTGAATTATTGTTGGCTGGCAGAACATGAGATGAGGAGATGGGCCCTTCGAAGGTAGAAAATATCAAACATTCAAACTGTGGCATATTGAGATTGGGCCTTTTCTGATCGTTTACGAGAAACTACCAAGTTTCTCTCACTTTGTCATAGATTGGGATAAAATTGTAAAGAAGCAACAATAGGGGTAAAACAGGCTCCTCAATGGCGGTATAAATACATGTAAGAAAAGTTAGCTTAGTTGCGCATGTCAAAGTGAAAGAGAAGAGGTTTGCTAAACAGCAATATGGTTGATAATGAAAGCACTCTATCACAAAGCTCAGAGAAATTGGAAGAGACAAGTGACGGAACATTAACCACCTGAACATGTATAATTACAATCTGATCGAGTTTCCAGTAGGCAGTAGTCTAAAACTACAACTTAACAACATATTAAACAGTTATTGCAAATTCACTTCTGGCAGATTCTACGATGTAATTGTCTCCAAGAATTTTTGGACAAGATCTAGGACGAGGCAGGGTGTAGTTGGGTCAGAGGAACTGCTGCTTCCAGAACGTGGAAGATGGTAACATCCAGGATGATTGGTTTTCTTCCAATATTGGCAGGCTCAAATACACACACATCATGTTCTTGTAAGTCGTTGTCATTCACAAAATTCCTCCAACCACCAGAAAGCCCTCCACAATTACGACTTCTGTGATAGTTAAATCTGGTCCTCCATGTACGCTTGTTAATTCGTAGAATCACATCTGCATTTTCTTTTGAGAGATGTTTAGCCACCCATGCAGTAGGGATTGACTGCATGGACCCGAAAATACAAGATATAAACACCATCATCTTTTTTAAATGGAGAAACAAGGCATATGTTATGTACAAAACTATGAAACTTTTTGCTTATGTCAATATATAAGATGAATAAAAGAAGTAAAAGACAGTCATTGAAAAAAGGAAAGCACAATGAAACCAAAAGTTCGATCAAGTTCAAGGAAGAAGCTTACCATATAAAACCGTCTCTCTACATGTGTGGGCTTCATAAGTACCATAAAACCCTCTTCGGCTAATGCTTCCTGTGCCATTAACAAGACATTTGTTTTCTCAACTTGAGTCGCAGGCCTTTTACAAGATGCATGCTGAGGGAAAAAGACATCTCCATCCATGGATGTATGTTCAAACTCTGAATCATTTGGAAATTAGGGTGGAAAAGAGAGTACAATCATCAGTCACCTAATTTCAGTCTCCAGCAAGGCAATATACTACATTTTGGTTTTAGTCATTAAGCAGAAAACACATTCCAAAAGTGGGTCCGACAACAAGGCACAACAATTGAATATCCAAGAAATCACCAAGAAGTTCCCAAAATCATTGCAAGGACCATAATATTGCAGTGTCAACAATAAAAAGTAGGAGGCAGGTGTCAACAAACTTATATCAAATGTTAAACCTACCATGAAAAGCAGGTTTTATGTATAGAAAAAGTTTTACAAGTGCTCTTACCAGTTTCGACCTTCACTTCTCCAGAAAAAGAAGAAAGTTCTTCGCCTCCAAGGCTCTCCCTAGCATGGATGGACCTAGTAGAAGAACCCACATTCCGCATCTTCTTATTAGTAGCAGCCGAGTTGATAGGTTCTCTTGGTGGCCTCATGTCAATGTCATTTTTAGGAGATTTTTCTGGTCTACTTTCAAGTCCACACTGTGGAGAGTTGTACACAATTTCATCAGGATTTTTATTCATCTTTCTTTCTGTTTGATATCCGCTGTCAAATTCTGTATGCCCACACTTCCTCACAAAATAAGAAGATGCCTTCTCACACAAGCTCCGGCCATCAAACATCAAAACATCAAAATTTGACACTCCATTGAACTTGAAGATCAAAAAGTCATTCTCTACCAAAGAATGGTCTTTTACAAAATTTTTCCATCCACGATCAAAGAACAAGGCATCATCATCTTCTGTCACGCCTACATCCCATATGATACCGCCGGGACCTTTAAGGGTCACAGTTTCCGGAAGCTTTTTCTTGATATTCTTAGTAAACTTTTCGGGTACTTCCTGCAGTTTCATACATCATTAAAACGCAATGCAAAGCTCAATATTAGAAATTTTAAATTATCCACTATCAAAGTAAAAGAAATATCAACAAAGGCTCAGCAACTCCTGGATCTCCAAAATTCCTGAATTTTCTAGCAAAGAACAACCAAAGAAAGGTAAAATGCAAATGCCAAAAGCCAAAAGCCTGCCTAATACCCCATGTCTCCTACACCAAAATCTAAAATGCCATAAGTGTAATAGGAGAAAGAGGATAGACATGCAGACTTGGAACATGATGACAAGATCACTCTTTCTCCCTTCAAATTTGCAGCTTGATTGCTAGAGAAAAAAGCCCAAATATATTCCAAAATATTGGGGTTTACCTTAAATTTTATGATCCCACATCGAAAGTTAAGTGAAGTTATAAAAGTTTGAGTTTTACTTATATCTCACATTGAGAGTTTAGTAAAGTTATAACAGATTTCACCCTCATAAATAAGATTTTTTTATTTTAGTTTAATAATCACTGACAGTTAGACACCAATAAAATAGTTAAGTGAGTAAGTTATTAAAAAGGTGTAATTGAGTTTTGGGTTAATTTTTGAATAAAAAGTTTTGGTGATTTTTTTAATTCAAAAGTCTCACAATTTTGGGTTTTGAGTAGGTCATTTTGAGTTAGATCAAAACAAATATATATTTTTGTTTTGAGTTTACTATTTTATGTATGGGTCTTGCGCGTTGATTTCCCAATATTTTAAGATATATGAAAAAGGTATGTCTAATATGACCATGTCCAAGTTTGAGATTTCTTTATTTGATAGAAAGAGTAATTTTATTTTATGGCACAATACAATTCAAGATCTCTTAATACAACAAAGATTAGATCAGTTATTAGAGAGTAATAAGCCTGAGGTAATGTTTAACAGTAATTATAATAGACTTCAAAAGAAAGCTATTAGTCTCCAAAGATAAAGTATAGTGTCTCAACTTAGAGTACTCCGAAGAGTTTGTAAGATAAAGTTAAGGGTATTTATGCTTTGAAGTCGTTAGCTAAGAGATTAAGAGATTATGGCGATATTATGGTTGCCAACTGTGAAAAGGTGTAGATTTAAGATATTGGGAGTGTTCGCCTTAGATCTCATAATGGTGTTGTTAAAATGCTTCATCGTGTAAGGTATGTACCAAGTTATAGCTATAATTTGATTGCTTTCGGTGAGTTAGCTTATTAGGAGTACACATACTATGATAATAATGATTGGTTGAAAGTGTACAAGAATGATAATGTGATTTTATAAGGAGGACTTGTTGTGGTTTGGCTTAAATCTCATAATCCCGTCGAAAGTTAAAAGTAAAGTTATAAGAATTTGAGATTGTCTTGTATCCCATATTAGGAGTTCAATAAAATTATAAAAGGTTTCACCGATACTTTGGTTTTAGTTTGATAATCACAGATAGACACCAAAAGAATAACTAAGTTAATAGACTATTAAAATGGTGTAATTGATTTTTGGGTTAAGTTTTGAGTAAGTAATTTCTGGGTGATTTTTCTTATTCCTAAAGTCTTGTAAAGATTTATTTGTTAGTAAATCGGGTTTAGAGTAGACCATTTTGAATTAGACTAAAATAAATATATTTGTGTATTTTTATTCTTGTTTTAAGTTTGTTATATTGTATGTGAGTGCTGCATGTGCCTATTGATTTCCTAACAAAATGAATCTCAAAAAAGGTCGTCAGTTTATCCCCTGATAAAGTCAAGGTATGAACTATAGACTGCAACGTTATTATTTAAGAGTTCCACTTCAACTAAGGAAACATACAGCGATCAGAAGATGAATCTGGATAGGCAAAAGAAAAGGCAATGTCAAGATGGAACTTACAAGCCGCTGGAGAAAATCACCACGGAGAAATTGAGAGAAATTAATGGACTGAAAATGGGTCCAAAAGATTTCCTCTTCCCAGCTCCTACAATCCTTATACTTGTCTCCCATTTGCTTAATCACATGGTTCTGCAGCCAAAATTCAGATGATTAATAAAGAAATAAAAAGAGTTAACGACACATCAAACCCAAAAAGTATTGCAGATCTCAAGAAGCTGAATACCATTCAAAAAGAAGCGGAAAACCCACCAAGAAGAAAGCAAGCAGAACAAAATGTTAAATGTAATCACTCACCTTAACGGGCTCACCTAGGAGATCAAAGAAGATAGAGTAACAAATGGACTATAAAACCCAGAAAAATAAAGTTATTAATGATCGAAAGTACAGTTCATCTAGACCTGGCTTGATGTATTTATGAGATAAATGCCTTGCTTTTATGATTCATTTGTTTTTAATTCTTTGTTTCTGTAGAAGCAATGAAGAATCCAAAGGGGATTGAAATGAACAAGGCAACAACTGTGTAGATTGAAGAGCTGAGAGAGAGCCAGAGAGGAGTAGTCCAGGGAGAGTCGTCGTAAAGGACAAGCCTTGGTTTTGGAGTGTTAAAGAGTTCATAGGAACACGCTTGGCACTCCCCACGGAGTTGGGGTACTGAACCGAATCTACTGTTTTGGCTTCGTGGACTGGGCTGGTTTCCGCAGCTCCCATTACGTTTGGTCTGCGATTTGACTCTGTTAGGAAATTCCAATCATGGGTTTTATATCCATTAATTTGTATATTTTTTTCTTCATGAACTTTGTTGGTATTAATACTTAATAATATAAAACTAGAATAATGAATGTATGCATGTACAGAACTATAGTTACAACGATATGATAAAAAAATTTGTTGGTATTCAAGTATTTATTTTTCATTTTTGTTTTAATAAGTTGTAAAAGCAATATGATAAAAATAAAGTAACCAGATTCAAGTATATGTAATAAGTTGTCATGGGTCAAATTTAGGCAAAACAAAAGTCACCGTCTATAACATTAGAATGCCCAAATTACCTTGAAAAATTAATAACAGATATTTATGGAATCTAGCAAAGATAGAACATCAAAAAGAAACTTGTGGTGACCAAGAAAAACCAAAAGAGAGAATTTTGCGGAGCCTCTCAAATGCCCTTACACATGTCTGGTTGTTTCTTTCAATAAAATTTATCCCCATTGTTCCACTTTTCTAATGCATTTCCCATTAAGGAGCCTTGGGTCGCTCCATGGTATGACGGGCATGAAAGCACTAGCAACCATGCAGACCTCGGGCTGCTTCCTGGCTTTTCTCCTTTGTTCTCTGATCTTATCATCATTCTCTTATGCTCTGTCCGATTCTGAAGTTGCATTCATTACTCGACGCCAACTCTTAGCTCTTCCTAAAAATGGTGATTTGACTGATGATTATGAAAATAGAGTGAAGCTTAATCTCACGTTTGAGAATCCCAGGCTTAGGCGTGCATACATTGCACTCCAAGCGTGGAAACATGCCCTGTATTCAGACCCCCTAAAAACCACTCAGAACTGGGAAGGCCCGAATGTTTGCGATTACAATGGAGTTTTCTGCGCACCGGCGCTTGACGATCCAAAGTTGAAGGTTGTTGCTGGCATTGATCTTAACCATGCTGACATTGCCGGATATTTGCCTGTTAAGTTGGGTCTATTGACTGATATTGCTCTATTTCACATAAACACTAACAGATTTTGTGGGATCATTCCTAAGAGTTTCTCAAAGCTTAGGCTTCTCCATGAATTGGATGTTAGTAATAACCGTTTTGTTGGCCCTTTCCCAGATGTTGTAATATCATTACCCTCGCTAAAGTTCCTTGATTTAAGGTACAATAATTTTGAAGGAGAATTGCCATCCGAGCTCTTTGAAATGAAGTTGGATGCATTGTTCTTGAACAACAATCGGTTTGTATCTAGCATTCCCGAAACTTTGGGGTCTTCTCCAGCATCTGTCGTTGTGGTTGCCAACAACAAGCTCTCAGGTTGTATTCCAAACAGCATTGGCAAGATGTGCAACACCTTGAACGAGATAATCTTCCAGAACAACAACCTCGCTGGATGCTTGCCATCTGAGATTGGAATGCTTGGGAATGTAACAGTTTTGGACGTTGGCTCCAACTCTTTCAGCGGAGTGTTGGCAAAGACATTTAAAGGGCTTGCAAAAGTTGAACAATTTGACGTTGCTCATAACATGCTGACTGGTTTTGTTTCGGACGACATTTGCCGCATGCCAAGTTTGAACAACTTTACATTTTCATACAACTATTTCAATGGAGAGGCTAAATCATGCGAGCCATCAAAGGGAAGGGACATTGTGTTGGACGATACTAGCAATTGCTTGCCAGATAGGCCTAAGCAGAAGTCAGCAAAAGAATGTCATCTAGTGGTAAGCCGACCAGTTGATTGCAGTAAGTCAAAATGTGGTGGGGGCGGAACATCACCACATCATTCAGGTTCTCCGACTAAGAAGCCTTTGCCACCATCACCAAAACCAGAACCCCCAAAAGAACAACAGCCTGAACCAAAACCATCTCCAAAGCTTCAGCCGCCTAAAACAGAAGCAACGCCAAAACCAAAGCCCCCAAAAGAACAACCGCCTGAACCAAAACTATCTCCAAAGCCACAGCCACCTAAAACAGAACCAACACAAAAACCAGAGCCCCCAAAAGAACAACCGTCTGAACCTCCAAAGCTGCAACCGCCCAAAACAGAATCAACACCAAAGCTACAAACACCAGAAGAACAAAATCCAAAGCCAATACCATCTCCAGAGCCAACACCACCAAAAGCAGAACAAACACCAAAATTACAACCACCAGAAGAACAACTTCCAAAGCCAATATCGTCTCCAGAGCCAAAATCACCAAAACCAGAACCAACACCAAAATTACAACCACCAAAAGACCAATCTCCTGAACCAAAACCAACCGCAGAGCCATTTCCAAAACTAAGTCCAACCCCTCTTCCTAACCCTCAAAAAATAGCAGCGCCACCACAAGTACCAATAAATGATCCTTATGGCGGAACACCTACTGAAAGACAGCAGTCTCCACCGCAACAATCAGCGCCACCAGTTGTTCAGTCTCCAAAACCACCAAAGCCTCTGGCCCCGGCACCAACATCAAAAAATCCCCATGAAAAATCACCTTTTACAAGGCATCTCTCTCCACCTCCTCCTGTACAATCTCCACCACTTCCCATCCACTCCCCACCGCCCCCAGTCTATTCTCCACCTCCACCACGACCGGTAAGTTCTCCACCACCTCCTGTTTACTCACCACCACCACCAGTTCATTCACCACCTCCACCAGTGCATTCTCCGCCACCACCACCAATGCATTCTCCTCCACCACCAATCCGTTCATCACCGCCACCAATCCACTCTACACCACCATCGGTTTTCCCACCTCCCCCACCAGCAATCCAGTCCTCAACTCCACCTTCCCCATCTCCTTCTCCTGCTCCTACTCCCGTTTTCTTTAAACCACCGCCAAACCAAGAAATCATTCTGCCACCAAATCTCGGCTTCCAGTACTCATCACCGCCTCCACCAATATTCCCAGGATACTAATTGGTGTAACTTAAGCTTCTTTTACTTTTTAACCCAATAGCTTTACGATCTTACAACATAAACCCTTCTGTTAGTTTGTAGCTGCTCATTAAAATTTACGTAAAATTTTGTTGTCTATTCATTTTAACAAATATTTGTACATGTCAGCTTAACTTTTACAACATTATTATACTAAAGTAAAAATAATAATAAATTCTAAAAAGAACAATCAAAGTGAATGAAACAAAAATTAATGATTCCTATTCAATGATTTTCTGATACCATAGCCAAAAAAATTTTTCTGATCAGCTGTCATACTCATTCGTGCATGAAATAATAAATTCTAAAAGGACAACTAAAGTGAATGAAACAAATTAACGAAACAAAGGTTGGGTCGAATGTCCCTAGTCCCTACACAATTGTTACCTGCTACATAATCCAGTGTAGTATGTGCTCTCCGGTGACCAAGTTCCAAACTAAACTCAGAAGATCAATCAGGATCTGAATATAAGCATTTAAAAATATAAGATTCCAATGAAGGAGATGCCAAACTTTCCCCAAACATCCTTTGTCGCTATGTGTGCTGGATATAACTTAATGCCGGAGTAAACAATCAAAACAAAACCGGGATTAATATTTCATATACTGACAGTATATCATTTCTATACACTGTCAATGAATAATATAAGGACAACTTATTAATGAATAAAATTTAAAATTTCAAGCCTTTAAAAATAAATATTAATAAATTTATTTAGGGTTAATTAATTAAAATTAAAAATTTTCTCTTATTTGTCACCTCTCTTTGCATTTACTGTCTCTTTCTTTTGATTTTCTAATTCTTTTTACTTGATTTTAATTCTCTTATCTTCGTCTCACCATATTCTGCTTTGCCATTTTCGAAATTATAGAAAGATCAATGGCACATCCTATATCTTGTGAGTATCTAATATGTTTCAACAGTAAACATATTTAATAAGCTTTTCAGAACTTCTGTATATCTGCGAGCTTTTGCTTTTTCCAGCATCTCCTATCTTGGATGTTCAACTTTTAACTAATCATTATAGTCAGTGGGCAGATTTATTTACCTCATTATATTATTTCCTTGCAGCAAGACCAATTTGAATGCCTTTTGCCAACCTTCATCCAAGTAATTGATTTGACAGATCAAGAAGAATTTGAATATTGGACTATTATGTCTGCCATTTTTTAAGGCAAACCAATTGAATTTATTGCATCTAGGCCTAGTATAGAATATGTTGCTTCCAATTCAATTAAAGTTAGCATCAACTGCAAGGTATGGTTGCAATCATCTTAAACATTTCTAGAGGCCATTACTAAAGTAGACATTGCTACTAGTAGGGTTCGTTAGAGGTAGACATTGTTGTTAGTAAGGTTCGTTAGAGGTATTTGATTCCTCATATTTGTGTTCATATTTTTCATTCGAAGATGGTAGGTTAATACTTCGATTTAGTTGGCACATGACATGATTCAAATTTTTTGAATTTAAGGGTTATTGAAGCTGACATGTTCCCTTTTATTGATGGAAAAATTATGTAACTAATTTAAAAAATTTTCAATAAAACTATAAGAAATCTCAAGTATTTTTTCTTGTTACTTGTATTATGCATGATACATAACATGTGTCGATGGGGTAATGACTTTTTTTTTTTAATAGTTCTCCTCTAATTAGAATGAGATGTATTGAGTAAGTTATGACTTTAAATTACATAGGTGCGTTTGTTAAGGACAATGCTCCAATGGGAAGCGCAACTACGATCAAAATCAAGTTTTGGAAAACAAGATGGTGGTGCAAAATCTAGTATCAACCCTGATTATGTTGTCCTATGGAAGGTTGTTACTATATGTTGGCCCCATGGTGACATAATGAGATTAAGAACCGACAGCACTGCTGCAGATGCTGCAAGAAAAGCAGGACTTAATGGAAAACTAGTTCTAGTTAATGGTCAACTAGGATTGCCTAGCACAGAGCTCAAAGAAAGAGGGTGATGTTGCAAAAATAAGATTGTAAATATAGAGAACATAACTGATTTGTATATATAACAGGGTAAAACAAAATCTATTGCAATTTAATTTATCAAATCTGAAAGTTGTTGATAAGGTGAGTGGGGTTGAAGCATGCAGGGCATTATAGTGTGTGATTGGATTTCGCCAACATTCAATGTAAATACAAAAAATTATAGAGCAGGAATGAATGAAAATTTTTTTAATTTTTTTGTCCTCTTCTGTTATACAATTTGGTTACATGCATGATTGTCGATTTTTTCATTGTCCGCATCCTCTTCTGGACCTATGCCTAAAACCTTTTGGTTGTCTTAATAGGCAATTGTTGCATTGCAGTTATCAAATCTTACAAGAAAATTAAATAAAAGAAATAATCATGAATAATATTAAAAGAAATACATGAATAAGATATTTCTATAAAATTTTATCAATGTTTAGGAGATAAATCATATAAAATGTAAATTATTTTATCGTAAAATTTGTAGTGTGAGACTCTAAAGATATATTTGTATTTGTCCTTGATACCAATTTTGAGTCGCACTTAGATCCTACATACACAAAGATATTTCAAGTGATTCATAGTTCTAATAAGACAAATTTACATATTAATAGATTTAATTTAATTTTAATAACATGTTTGAACAAAGTAAAAAAAGTAACTAAAAATATTATAATATTGACTTATTATTACCTCATTTGATTGAATAGAACAATAAGTTTTAGCAGTATTGAGATTTGACACTATCTCTTGGCTAGAATCACACCTTCAAAAAATAAAAGTAAAAAAATAAAATAAAAATTGCTAATATGGTAAACTATACCAAATTTAAAAGCATCAAACAATACCTTGATTGATTTTTTAGCAAGCAAATATGCTTTGTATGACCCTTTTGTTTACAGAATGAACATGTTTTTGAATTATTTCTTTGTTTCAAAGCCCCTTTCATTCTTACAGTTGAGGACACCCTTTAGTAGTCACATGAGAAGGATCATGCAAAGTTATATTATAACTCAAAAAATGAGTCTCATGATCTTTTGAAACATCTTTAAAAACATTTTCACTTGTTCAAACACCAGCACTACTACTTTTCTCCTCCTCAGATATTTTAAAAGCATCGAGCTCTTCAAATAACCGTTGCAAACCTTCAATTGCCATATCATAATGTTTTTGAAATCTTGAAGCTTTTTTTGAAAGCTCCATAGAATGAATAATGACATTATTAAACAATATCATTGAAGACTTTGGAGCACTATCATGTTGTTCATCTAAAATGCTTTCTACTTCTCCTTTTTTAGCATCTCTTGTCCACCATTTTAAAACATATTGATCAGGTAATGAATGCATTTTTTTAATCAAAATTGTCAATTGATGCCTGCAAAGGATGCCTACAAATTCAAACATGTGACATGAACAAGTTGTAGTTGCTGACAAGGAAACAAATGTCACAATATATTCAGGCTTCTCTTTGTCAAATTCATGCACTCTGTAACGGAACACTTGCTCATTTACAGTGATCTTTTTTGTAACATACTACTGAGAATGAACCAATTTATCTTGAAATTTTCTAAACATTTTTCTTGTGTAAACCTCCAAAGCTTCTTTTTTCATTGGATAAAATGTCTTTAAAATTGACTTAGAATTGATTGATTTGAAAATTTTCTCCCTATTTTTGTTGTATCTTGCATCAAGGGCTTTTTTATACTGAATGACGAACTTACTCATCAAAGTGCTTGAGTTAACATAATCTTTGAAATACTTGTTCATACTCTCACTTCTCTAAGTAGTAGACATTTCAGCATAAAAGTTGTTTCGCACATAAGTAAGGATCTATTTTTCTCAAATGGAATACAACTTCTTCAGCCAAGTATTTTCTTGCAAACCATACTTTTCAATTATTTAAGCACATTCCGATTCAAACTCATCAGGAACTAATGCATAATGGATGAATTTAAAAAATTGATTCGTGAAATCATCAAATTTGTGGTAAACATGGCTAAAATTCTCAAGAAATTTTTTTCAATATGCCACAAGCAAAAATGATGTTTAGATATGGTAAAACCTTTGCAACTACATTAGTTATAGCTGCATCTTGATCTGTAATGATTGTTTTTGGATGATATCCAAACATTGCTTCTAACCAAGTGTTCAATAGCCAAACAAATGTTTCCTTTGTCTCATCCCACAATAAAACACAACCAAATAAAATGGATTGGTAATGGTGATTAACTCCAGTGAAAGGAACAAAAGGCATTTTATACTTATTTATTAGATAAGTTGGGTCAAAAGCTACAACATCACCAAAATACTTATATGTCATTCTGGACCTAAAATCAGCCCAAAAGCAATTCGCTAGTTGACCTTCTGCATCCATTTGTATTGCATAAAAGAATCCTGGATTCTTCGACTGACATTCTTTGAAATAAGTTAGCACTAACTATACATCTCCTTTCTCAAGCTGTTTCTGCCTTCTATTATTTAAATAATTTTGAATATCACGCTCAGTTAAACCAACCGTATCCATGCCACCTAATTCAGTAGCTAAAACTAACATGATTTTACTAGAACGAATTCCTAAATCATCAAGTACATCAATTAAATTTCGTTGAACTCTTGTCTTTTTTTTGTGAACACGTAAAAATTGAGCACTTTTTAGAATAACAAACTTATGAGTGTGATTTTTTATTAATATAGAAATTAACCATTTGTCATTATCTTTCTTGGACACATAAATCATGGCTTTGCATCCCACTCTTGTCTCATCTGATGGTGCTTGAATTCTATATTCCCTTTTGAGATATTTTTTGTTACGAAAACCTTCTTTTGAACAAACAAATTTCTGTCCAATAATCAATAAAGTTTTTAGAGATTTTGTAATACGGCTCTTATGAATTCCAAATCTTTCACGTTTTGCATACTTAATATAGTACTCTAAAGCTTCTTCCAAAGATTAAAACTCCATTCCGATAAATGGTTATAAAAACTCATGATTTTTATCAGCTAACTCTGTAATAATTTCAAAATCATATTCCTGACCAACTTTATCAACATTTAATTATTTATCAGAAGACGTTGCCATCACCTGTAACAAGAATTGAAAACCTTATCAATCAATTAAGATAAAAATTTGAATCACCTCTAATTCCACACCATTATATATATCATGATCAAGTGACATTTTCATATCATCTTATTGTTGATATTCCAACACCTAAATCCCAAAAACACAAACAAGGTAAAAGAACTTTATAATATGAAACACATCCAAACTAAAGGAAAATAGTGCATAAAGTCATTCATTTACAATTCATTAAAATAGAGCAAACAATAGTTAAAAGACCAATAAGGTTTACTTTATGAGGCATAATTGATGAGCCAACCAAAACACTCAACTGTTTAAAGTATCCTAAAGATATGTAGCCCCATATATCTTTGTTAAAGTCAATCAATATATTGTTAAAACGGATAATTGCTTAATAAAGTTCTGTCATATAATCGTGTGTCTCAATTTGCAAAAGCAATGCCAGATATGTTCAATCAAAAGAATATATCAACACTTAGATAAGATTACATAATTACCGATTTTATCTATTCCAAATGAAGCACATAAACTTATGACCGATCATATGCCATATAACGCTAACTAGAAGTGTCATTCCTTCAGGCTTCAGCTAGCTGACATATATACTTTTACAATAAAAGAGGAAAAAGAAGTGTAGGAAACATGCTTGAGTAACATAGGGGTTAAACTTTAATCCAAGAGAAGACATAAACTCTTTCGCTATTTGAGGCCAATTAATATTAGCTAAATTCAGTATAGTGTAAATATTCCAACACCTAAATCCTAAAAATACATACAAGGTAAAAGAACTTTATAATATGAAACACATCCAAACTAAAGGAAGACAGTGTATAAAATTGTTTCTTTACAATTCATTGAAATAGAGCAAACAATAGTTAAAAGACTAATGCTGCAAATAAACAGAACCCTAAGATTAAAAAAGTAAAAATTGACAGCAGATAAAGTCATTCAACATCCAATACCCAAAATTAGTTTCCAAAACTGCAAACAAAAATGAAAATTTCGAAGTGAAATTCAACTTACCTAGTAAAGAAATCATGAAATTTGACTGAAACGAAAAGCTTACCCAAATATGTAGAAGCTTACCCAGATGGAGATGCTGGAAGAAGCAAAAGCTCACAGATATGCAAAAGTCCTAAAAAGCGTATTAAATATATTTACTGTTGAAACATTTTAGATACTCATAAGATATGAGATGTGCTATTGATCTTTTTACAAATCCGAAAATGGCAAAGCAGAATCTGGTGAGACAAAAATAAAAGAATTAAAATCAAATTAAAAAATTAAAAAATCAAAATAAAGAAGGCGATGATAAAAGCAAAGGGAGGTGACAAAAAAGAGAAAAGTTTTAATTTTAATTAATTAATCTTAAATAAATTTATTAATATTTATTTTTAAAGACTTGAAATTTTAAATTTTATTCATTAATGAAATGTGTTTATATTATTCACTGAAAATATATAAAAATGATATGCTGTCATTGCATGAAACACTATTATTATTTCTTTCACTTTGCAATACTTTTATCTCCTACTGCAAAAATCCCATCTCTGTAGGACTTTTTGTCGACATCTGAGTCATTCTACAGATTCATTGTATAAAAATAAAAACGGTTTTTTTTACAATACATATATACATATTTTACAAGTCCCTAAAGCTTGTAAAATTCTCTGTTCTATAGTCAAAATATTCACCATCGCAAGTATCATTAAATACTTACAATCTATGTCCTTTGTCAACTCCGTCGCTGTTGTTGGCATATCTTTCTTGTTCTTCTTGATTTTCCTTAAAAGATTTGTACTATCGGGTCACAAGATGGGATCTACGGGCCTTCCAACTGTCCCAGATACATAAACCCTCAGTTTTCTCTTCTTCATGTTGAAAGCTTTTTCGGGGGTTTTCTTCGTCTGCCTAAATCTTTATTATTATCAGATTGAAATCAAATGGAATGAGGTTTCAGATTTGTTATTATGGGGTTGGTGCAGAGGTACCAGGGCTACCGTTTATAGGAAATTTGCTGCAGCTGAATGAGAAGAAAGCTCACAAGACATTCACAAAATGCGCAGCGATATATGGAAATCTATTCTATCAGAACCGGAGCTTCTACTGTTATTGTAAACAATACCCCAGAGACGGCCAAAGAGGTTAGCACTTTAGCTTCCTTTCGTGTGTTTTATCTTGGCCTCCCTCCATTTTCCCCCATGGCTTGCGCAGGAACGTCATTCATGCCACATCACTCGGATATCAGTAATCATTACTCCAACATCAACATTCGCAAATCACAATGCATGAAGGGTCGTTTGTATTTTCCGAAATGTCCAAATTTAATGGATTTTCTTCTAGGCCGGAATTTGGGTCGGTGAAAATATTGAAGGGCATGGTTTACAATATATTCATATGACATGACTCTATGGACCAAACGATTGTGGCCCGATTTTGCCCAAAACTAGGCTTGGCCTCTAAAAACCTGATTCCACTGGAGTTCGATTTAGTTCAATAATTCATAGGGTGGAGGTGTCCTAGGCATGGTGACCCGTTTAACATCTTTGGGCCGGGCTTGGTCCACATTGTTATGCTTATAAATTTATTGAGTCAAGCATGGGCTAAATTTCAAGCACAATATCAGCCCATTTTGGCCTGACAAAGTATTGCAGTATTAACTTATATATTTTTCTTATGTAGTAATAAAAAAGATATACTATTTACTACATATTTCATCGATCCTTCATGTTATTTAAATAAACAAATATATTATCAGACTTATGGGTGGGTTTGGGGTTTGGAACTCCAAGCCAGCCTTGGAGGTCTTGGGCAAAACCTTTAATTTAATAACCCGAAAGCCCAACTGGCCTGGCCGTTGGACAACTTTGATGGAACAAAAACAAAACCTCGTTACGTGTGTACAGTGGTTCCAATTAACTAAAAATCGGTTTCGTAATCCTATGGTTACTTCATCTCAATCTCACGAATAAATTGAATGTCTAAAGGTAGTTCTAGAACTGTTCAAGCAATTGATCCACTGGAATTTATATCTTATCCTGTTAGAGAAGTGATGTAAGTTAATGGTATCTTGGTTGTTACCATTGGTCGTTGTCCGGGCCGGTGATCAGGTTTTCATCCATTTCAACAAGGAAGCTATCGAACGCCCCTGAAGATTCTCACTTTTGATAAATGCAGGGTTGCAACAAGTGACTACAGCTAACAAACACTTTGGGTGCAAACGCACAGGTTTGCCGCGAGGCTCTAGAACTTTATTTATATTTGTTCCTCTATATTTGTCTTTGAGTGGCATTGTCATTTCAAACGTTTGACAAACTAAAATCTGTTTTTACGTTGTTGATGCCATCCATGTTGTTCTTAGAGACGATATCGACACCACAGGAAAACTATGATCGAAATATATTAAGCCAATTGCATGCTTTTAGTGAGGGATGATCTGCTCCTTCCGGTCAACGTCAGGAAAATATTCAAGTCTGAACTTTTTGGGATCGGCAATGAAGGAAGTGAGTTTCTTTTACCCGTTCTGCTAATGGAAGATAAGGATGAGAGTAAGGAATTCAAAGATGTTGAGATAAACACCCTGTTATTTGCAGGCTTTGGGAAAGGACGTCAATCAATTTATGTGGAGGAGCTTGGTACTACTTTGTCTAGAAAAGATGTACACAAAGTTTTAGTCATTGACATAAGGGAGGTTGCTATTGAGGTCGATTGGAGAGATTTCTTCCCATACTTGAAATGGATTCCTAACGAAAGTTTTGAAACAAGTATCCAGCAAAAGCATTTCAAGAGGATGGCATTGATGAATGCCCTGATCAAGGAGCAGATGAAACGAATTGATTAAGGGGAGGTAGTCTTTTCTTGAGAGCTGAGTCATTGTTTTGCCAAATTTTCTATTTTTGTTTCTTGAAACCAATTAGCCTCTGATGCGAGTAATATAACTTGGCTTGGCTGGATCAAAAACAGGAAGTGAATTGTTATCTTGATTACTTGTTATCCGAAGCAAAGACGCTAACAAAGGAGCAAATTGCAATGTTGCTGTGGGAGACAATCATTGAAGCAGCAGATACTACTTTGGTCACAACAGAGTGGGCAATGTATCAGCTTGCTAAAGATTCAATCAGGCAGGTTGTTTTAATTACTAAATTCTTTATTCTAATTCCCTCCATTTTTGTTTTTGACAAGATTTTGAACTTCTTGTTTCATATTTAATAGGATCGTCTCTAATATGAAATGGAAAAGGTTTGTGGTTCTAGCAAGGTTAAGGAGGGAAAATTTTTTGCAACTCCGATTTTTGGATGCTGTTTTCCATGAGACCCTCAGGAAGCACAGTCCAGCACCTTTGGTTCCTTTAAGATAGGTACATGAAGATACCCAAATAGGAGGGTTTATATACCAGCGGGAAGTGAGGTTGGTTTTTTCCTACCTGAAATTCCCTGTTTGATATTTTCCCTTGTAAAGCAAACATATTTAAGTGACACTACATTTTGAGCAGATTGCTCTTTACATCTATGGCTGTAACATGGACAAGAATCATTTGGGAAACCCTGAAGTGTGGAATCCAGAGAGGTTTCTTGATGAGAAATATGACCCTTTGGATTTGCATAAGACAATGGCATTTGGAGCGGGAAAGAGGGTATGCGCAGGTTCTCTTTAGGCGATGCTGCTAGCTTGTGCAGCAATCTTTAATGCACGATCTTTGAGCTGCTTTGGAGCACTGGACATATCACAACTTAATCACTGCATTAAAACAATTAAGACTTAAGCTATAATAACTGTCCAATCTCCACTATGTGAAAAAGAAATGAGTTTACTTGATGCATCATCAATGTATTCTAGATTAGTGGTTAACTATGTCTTGCAAACACTAATGCATGCCTTTAGTTCCAGGCCAAATGATTACTTCTCATTATTTGAATTGGAGACTACATTCAATGAGTGGTATATACTTGCATTTGGAGATGGATTCTAACATAAATTGTCTAGAATCACATCCCCTGAATGGTCATTTCTTAACCTCTTGTCCTGTCTTGGTCATTTGTGAACATCAGACTAAGAGATGTGGATTGGCTTTGCCATTGAAAGAGTTGCGCGAAATTGTAACCATTCAAATAGGAGGATTAGCGTTGGGGCAGGGCCCCAAATGAAAGGATCATGGAACCATCCCGTAACAACCGGGAACCATGATCCATTCTTGATGTGGGCATTTTGGCACTGTAACGGACTGAAAATAATTTGATGTCAGATGGAAGCGTTACGCGCTCTTAGCCATAAATATTTCGTTTTCACTCTTTCCTTTCTTCCTTACGTTACAATAATCATGTAACTTCTCTTACTTAAACTTTAATGCACACCCCGCCAAAGTCAATATAGTTGTTGTAAAAAGAAAGCTGGCCATTTTTGCAGGCTTAGAAACCCCGATGGCTACAGTATTGGGATTTCAGTTACTTTGACAATTTCAATTAGGTTACTTTGGTTAGACTTCGAGGGCCCCAGAGAGATGGAGGTAAAAACTAAAAATGCAATGCAAAATGAGAATGGGGGAAGGTTGGAGGTGTAATTGGTAATGTGAGGGTCATACTGTCATACAGGCAGCCTGGGCAGTCAAAACAGGTCTGAACTCTGGTAGCAGCGCCAAATGAAATTCACATTATACACACAGAGGACAAGATGGCAGAAACTGATGGAGACAAGAGGAGAGAAACTCTTGGGACTAGTGACTAGGCTCACCATTTCCCTGTTCGGCTTACCGCTGCTAGACGCTAGAGCCGCACGCGTGCTTTGCTATTAACTGTAACCACCAATCGCTATTCGCCACGCGTCTTGTCAGCGTTCAACTGTCAAAGGAACCAGCCATACTCGGACACCTGTCTGCCGTGTCACGGCAGGCAAACTGGCAAACCCAGTCTCTTGACTCTTCCTGCGCCCACCCGATACAGGGTCATACCAGGTCAAGTCAGGTCCTCAGAACAAGTCAAGTCCATGTCTATTTGCCAAAACCAGCCTCAACCCAATTATCTAATGTCCAATAAGAATTTGGATAACCATCAGTGCTGAAAGACAAATTATTACTAGTACTAGTCTACTGCGATGTGATTAAAGAATGATTACGTGAATACACAAAGACAAGAGGGTGGATACTTGGGAAACTGTACGAATAAAGACATAGGTAGAACCAAAGGAGCAGAGATCACGGCAACCGAGAAATCCGGCTAACAACAGAGGGAGTGAGTAGGGGGGTCGTAGCCACAACCAGCAGGCAAACCCAATTATTGTTTCCCACGCTGCCCAACACCAATTATGTTGTCGGTCCTCTTCTATTATTTTACTCTACTTCTGCTTCTCTTGTATTGTACATCGCAATTGATAGCTTTCCCTCTCTCGTTCCACCCACCTTTGACGGTTATCTAAGCCAACTCTCCCCCATTTTGAAACTTGATAAGAGATTTAGGTTAATCTCTCCTCTTTAATTAATTGGCAATTCACTTTATTTTCTTAGTTTATCAAAAAAAATTCAGAAAAGATGATCCTGAATCCTGATTCATCCACATTGGCAAACTAAACACTCAAGCAAAGGATTGTAAACGTGAGTAGCAGCATGCTGTCTAATAAATCTAACAAATCCAAGTATATGGCACCTTTTCCTCATTCATGGTCCGCCGCCTGACCCCAAAACCAAGAGAGGAAGGATTGCTACATATATCAGTAAACAGTATTGACTGATAACATTAAGGTTCTAAAAGAAATTATTTACCAATAAATTCAATGTTTAATTTCTGAACTTGTAAAGGATTTACTGAAGCCGAGCCAAGCTTTGAGCGGCTACAAACATCGTACACAAACAAAAGCCACCGCCTTATTTGTTGGTTTGGTGCTGTAGCACAGTAGTAGTGAAAAAAAGACATATTTATTAGGTTTCTCAATTCCCCTGCTTTTGCTTGTCCCTCCCCACGCCAATTCAACATTTACAAAATCCTCGGATAGTCTTTTTTATAACTTCCAAAACATATTGTTGCCTTTCATCCTCTCTCAAAAATCTTCTCTTTTCTCTCATTTGTCTCTCTTTCTCTGTCAAAAGATTAACCTTTAACCATCACTTTCCACACAACTTAAACCAACAAAAATGCCTGCTGATTCCGGCGACAGGCGCCCGGTTCGAGTCCCAGGAACCATGGGGTCGCACCCACCACCCAATCTGACCGAGCCACTTCCATGTCCAAGGTGTGACTCAACCAGCACCAAGTTCTGCTACTACAACAACTACAACCTCTCTCAACCTCGCTACTTCTGTAAGTCATGCCGCCGTTACTGGACTCAAGGCGGAACTCTCCGTAACATTCCTGTTGGTGGTGGGACCCGCAAGGCTTCCAAGCGATCTCGATGTCCTTCTGGCTCTTCTCCATCTGTTGCAACTTCGTCTTCCTCGAGCGTGACGAATGAATCTGAGTCTGTGACTATGGCTGTTAACCCTGTAATGGTTGTGCCTGGACCTGGAGTTAAACCTGAAATGGGTTTGGCTGTTGTAAATTTGAATGAAAGTGTGGATCTTCCTGTGAATGGAGGCTTCACTTCATTCTTGAATTCTCAGGGAGAAGGGTACTTGACACTTGGTGGATACGGGTTTGGGGCTGGTTCAGAGTTTGATGGGGTTTGGGGTTATCCTGGAAATGGTTATCTTGGAGGTTTCAATGGCGGGGGTAGTGGTGGACCTGGTGGTGCCGTAGGTGGTGCTACTGGGTGTAATACATGGCAAGCAGCAAGCGATGTTGAAGGTGGCGAAGGTTTAGTTGATGGGGATTGCTTTGGTTGGCCAGGTCTTGCAATTTCTGCTCCAGGTAAAGGTTTGAAGTGAAAAAGATTTTGCCATTTCGAGAAAAGGTTTCGTCTTTTACTTTTTTTTTTTGGCTTTTTGGGTAGCGTTTGGAGAGTTTCCTTGTTGATGGTGTTGTTTAGGCTGGATTTTTTCAGTTCTAGTTGTCCTTTCTTTTGGGTCAGTTTTTTTCATCTGGTGGGTATAGAGAGAAAGATTATAGTAGAATAGAAGACTGTTGATCAAAGTGTCTCCTTTTGAATGAACTTAGGGTTTTGTTTTTTGATGACTGTAAATCTCTGGTGTACTTGAATACTTTGCACTGGGAAAGAAATGAATGATAAACGACAGTTTTTCCAGCTGAAGTTCTACACTGTAGAAGTGAATTTTCTTTCTTTGGTTTGGATGCTTAAAATCCGAATACTAGCCTTTTTTTTTTTTTTTTTTTGGTGTTCCTGTCTTTGGAAAGGGTGATTTTCATTGAAAACTCTGCAGCAGAACACTGAGTGACGAGTATAGTATTTGAGTTCCGAGTTTCGAAGAATGTCTGCAGGTTTCAGTTACCGACTATTCAACTACTACTTAAATCACTTCAATAGCATGTGAGCTGATCTAGCAAAAATTTTCCAAGCTCTTTGGCTCCATTAGAGCTTGGCTGCACCATTTCCCTCTCAAATTAATTGGCACTGCCAATTATAGCACTGAGCACAATAAAAGCAATCGAAATACGAGTATTTGACCCCTTTTTCATCCAGATATGGAAGATTAATCAAGAGGGAATAAAATTTGAGCCTCCAGATTACCAATTCAAAGAAGGAAAGAATGGCACAGGTGGATCTGGAATGCCATGGAATTTAGAATGATACCTAGAGAAAAAAGAAATCACTTTCGGTCTAGTTAGAAAATTTGATTGCTTCCTTTGAGTGACATTCCACCAACCAAGGGGCCGTTTCAGAGGCATCTTGTTCGTATTTGCTCTTAGTGGAAACGCTATTGGTTTCATGTCCCTACATGGGGTTATTGCACGTTTTTAAGTTGAACACTCGCTTCTCCCTTTGACAGCTTCAAGTTTGCAAAATTCCCTCTCGACAAACTCTTTCTCTTTTGGAAGGTAGAATTTTAAACCTGAAAATGTTACCATAATCCCATGCCTAGCCGGCCCATTGCACTATTCAATGATCTATTCCACTCATCTTAGACGTGGCCTTAATCATAATATCATATGATGATGTAAATTGACTGGAGTCTTGAAGATCTAAGAGCTCAATATGCTTTGTATGTGAGAAGAAATGGGATGGCCTCTGACTAGCACAGTTGTTTTAATTTCAGCTATTGGATTCGAAATAACACCGAGAGAATGGAGTCACGGACCATGTTTCCAGGTTTATTTTTTCCTTTTAACTTGATGGGGAAGAGAACACAGATCATTTGGTCGGTGGTTAGTAATTTGAAATACACGTAACTAGTACTTATCTTCCTATTTTAACTTTGTCTTATGTTGCATTCGTAGTCAAATTCCTACCTTTTTAACCTATACAATGATGATAAAGATGAAAGGGGGAAGGTCAATTATGTCTCAAATCATTTCCCTTTGTGCCTTTCCTTTGGGATAGTGGCAGGTTGGGTACTATTAAGGCAGCAGCCAGATTGAATTTGCTTTTAATATGTGCTCACAGTGCATTCTTGAAATGGGAAAGATGCAACTTTGTCAGGTGGATTATCATTTCAATCATATATGTCTCCACCATACATGAAGACAAATTCATCCGCTTTTCAGTACTATGTAGATTATGGGGTTTAATAATAATTTTTTTTTTTAAAGCGCATGAAGCTAAGACCTGTCTTTCCAGGAACCATCCATTTCCATTGCCACTCAACCTACTTTAAAATTAAGAAAAGCTGTTTAAAGCTGAAATTTATCAGAATCTAAATGCACCCACTTTTGATAACCTTGAGACAGAAAAACTGAAGTCACAGAATGTTCCAGGTTGTCCATTGGCGAGGGCTGAGGACAATTCCATCTCTTTTAAAAGAATTGGCTTCAAATTTGTTCCCTTCATTGGTGATTTCTTTCTTTCTTTCCTTATGTTAGTTATGCTTCCCTGCACAAGAAGGGACTGTGACAGTGAAACCTTAGTTACCACGTCTGCATGCGCATTCGAACATGTTACCCCGTAATTGACGGGTTCATTAGCCATATCAAAAAATGATAGTTTCCCTACATGATGATATACAGTGTTTTGATTGCAATGAATTTGCTTCATAGTGATGTCAAGATGATAATTGCAGTCACTTCATTACCGTCAATTTTCTTGACAAGAAATGGATTATATGTTGACAATATTTTACAATCATACAGCAGCGGTAGTGAGAGATTTAGGAGAGTGACTTCCACGTTATAGTTCTAATAGTAGCCCTCAATTATGAATCCATGGGGCACCGTTCTCCTTTCATTGTCTCTTGGACCCTATGAAAAAGTTATTATATAGCTCCATTGAGAAGAGCTAGTGACATTTGAGGTGGGACTAGAATGCAATTAAATTTATCAATTTGAATATTTATGTTATATAAATTATTAAAATTTATTTATTTATATCATATTTAATATAAAAATTATATATTATAATTCATATCAATATAAAAATATAAAATATAATTTTTTATTTTATTAAATTTATATATAATTATTATTAAAATTTTAAATTATATTTATATGATATCATCATATTATAACGTGATACCGGTGAACCATATTATAATGTAGTACTAGTGAAAGCTACGAACTGGCTCTTGTTCTATTATAAGTTAATTAGTGAAGAATGTTATTGTTAAACCCCAAGTTTATAACTGAATTTATTCATATAATTATCATTAAAAGATATTACCCAACCATTCAAATTTCAAAACATTCAATCCCTTCCTTTTCTTCCTTTATCCAAAGTGGCTTCCTTTGAAAAAAAAAATCTGTAACATCCTGGAAAGAAGAAACAAGATAGACATTCTGCTTTTATGTGATTGATGAAACAGAACAGAGCAGATCAATAAACCCAATGCATAATTTCACAAATTAAGGCGCTTATAATTACAAAACCTCACATACCCTAAACCACATCATGAATACTTCTCTTTCATTGTTTTAAGACTGGATGGAGAGAATTCAAGTAGGCAAAGAAGAAATGTTTCCATCCAATCTGAACTATCCATCATGAAATATAAAAGAAAGTGTTACTGTTTTTTTGCTTGACATTGAAACATCCACGGAATATGACTATGATAGGTAGATTCTACGCAATTCAAAAGCCTTGTTCAGGTGTTTCAGCTTCTTAATTGGGCTTGAAGAATTTCAATTTAAGCCCATTGTTCACCATGCTCCAAACACCACCAATAGAGAAGGCCAAGCTGAAGGCAATGCCCAGCCAACCGAGGATCCAATTGAAATACCAATTGAAGCTGTATTTCGTAGGCCTTTTTATTAAAACCCACATGAAACAAGGATAAGCAAATGTAACCGGAAGAGTGAGTCCTCCTAACAGTCCAGCAAGACTTGAAAGGAATGGGAGTGCTACCCCTATGAAGAAGGAGACAAATCCATAGAAAACACGAAAACCAGATCGAACCCAGATTGGGCAAGGGCGGTTGGTACGGCTAGTATACCCAGCTTCAAAGCTATCAAAAACTGGCATTGAATATATTTGGAAACTGCTCAGACAGTTGAATACCACAAGAAGAAAAGTTAGGGCAAGAAGTCCTCTTGGAATGTCGTGACTGTGAAACGCATAAAGTGCATTGAGAATCCCTCCTGAAGGCATCTAAATCAAGAGAAACAAGTGCAATAAGCAATAGATTGACATTATAGAAGATAGAATGGCAATTCAACACTCAAACCTTATCAAATGAATGGAACAAGTCATCTCTTCAGTCTGCTTTAAGTCTCTACCGGATGGAAAATTGTTATTAAATGAAGTTCAAAGTTAGATTACTTACTAGGTTTCCATAAGCCCAAAAACCTCCAATGGCAATAGGGAAAAGGCACATGGCAATGAAGAAATAAGAAACCTTGGCTCCTCTCCACATGGGGACATGGGCTGGGTGCTTAAATGTTGATGGCATTGTTGCCTGAAACAAGCCACATAAAATTACCTCCCTTCGAAAACCAGAATGACCATTGGCTTTCAAGAAATGATATTGAAACTTGTTTAACAGTGCACACCTGAATCTCTAAAACTAAATTATGGCCTCTGAACGCAAAGGCTACAATTCCAAGTGCATTCATGACTGAGAAGAAAGTAGCAGCAGAGGATGGCAGTGAGAGAGGTTCATAAGAGATTGTCGGTGGCCTTTGTTGGCTCACAGAGAGCACCCATACCATAGTGGAGTAAGTGATTGCTGTCACGGCTCCTACTAGAGACAGTCCTGCAATTGAATTAAGATTGGGGAGCTGAGAAAGGACAATGCACAATGAAGTGAACACTAGATACCACTCGACTGTTGTCAAAGGATTCGACGAACAGAGAGGCCCGCAAACAATCTGGAAGAATAGTTTCATGGTTTCCCCTCCTATGAGAATCAAAGCTGTTGCAGTTCCTGCTGATAAATAAACTGTTGGGAATAGAGCAAGCCAAACTCCTAATCTTTCTCCTGCAAAATAAAAAAAAAAAAAAAAAAAGAGACATAACATCAATTCAATTTTACATGGTGTATAAAGCTGATTTGCTTGAAATTCTCTCCTTTACTTGACCAAATTACAGCTATATGGAAGTAATCTCTGAGACTTACAACACAGGAATACATGAGTTGAAAGGATCACCCAAGTTACTTAATTTCCTATCTTTCCAAAGGTTACAAATGGGCAGAAAATAAGGAATTTCTGAAGCTGAAAGTCAACAGCAGTCCCAAAGCAGTATAACAGCATAACTGTAGCATTTGACATGAAAGTTCAACTTGCAGCACTAGCTACAAGTGGTCATAACAAACAATGTTCATTCATTTTAACTTCTTTTCTTGCATATTGCATTGACATGATTTTACTACTTATAACTAGATTGCTGTTAATAGAAAGTTTATCTAGAAGATAAGGATTGATTATTCAAGGGAGGTTTTAAGCATCTGTTCTCACCAAAAGCTGCTTGTGCGAGCTCCACATATCTATTATACCTCTTTCCTGGGACAGCTTCATGTAACTGAACCAGAATCCATAGGGTGTAAAGTTGCCAACAGTAGGCTATAGTTAAGGACAATATACCCCAACTCCTACACAAACAATCACGGAAAGCAAATCAAGTTAACAGGATTCAAAAAATTTCTATTATCGTTTCAATATTTTTGTTTTACTCTCCTAGTTGCTTTTACAG